TATTGTAGACATTTACAAAATAATCCAGTGGACAGTCTATCCTTTCTTATTGTCTCTAACTGCCTTTCAAATGAATAAATAAATAAATCCTTAAGAAAAAGATGTGTGGGGGCTGGCGCTGTGGCTCTGTGGGTTAATCCTCCGCCTGTGGTGTGGCATCCCATATGGGCGCTGGTTCATGTCCCAGCTGCTCCTCTTCCAGTCCAGCTCTCCTCTGTGGTCTGGAAAAGCAGTAGAAGATGGCCCAAGTGCTTGGGCTGCTGCACCCACATGGGAGACTGGGAGGAAGCACCTGGCTGTTGGCTTCGGATCAGCACAGTTCCGGCTGTTGTGGCTATTTGGGGAGTGAACCAACAGAAGGAAGACCTTTCTCTCTGTCTCTCCCTCTCACAGTCTGTAACTCTACCTCTCAAATAAATAAAAAAAAAAAAAAAAAAGAAAAAGATGTGTAACAAATCTCTTATTTTCCTCAGCTTTGTAGAGTGTCCTTACTGGGACATTAGCTGTGTTTGTGGTTTGAGAAAAATGGTGCGTTCTATGTAGTGCTTTCTCAGAAGTGATGACAATTCATTTCAACTGATATTTCCTTGGCCAGAATCCTCTGGCCTTTTCTCAGTTTTTCTAGACTGTGAGGTGATATGTAATTCTCCTGTAAGAAACAGTACCGAAGATGAATGGATAGTTGTCACTGCAGACTGAATTTCTGTCCTTACACATTTCCTTCATACCATACCTACAGAGACAACTTCTGGTAGCATCTCTGAATGATGCCAGGAATTGGTATGTCCAGATAGTGGCCTCTCTTGACGCATACACCTGTGTCTGAAGCAAACAGGTGATCTGTTTTGCATGTCCTCAGGGTGCATGGGTTAAGCTAGAGCAAAATAATCACAATAGACATTGTTTTGAAAGAGGAAAAAATAGGGTGTAGGGAGAATGGGAACGTAATTTTGTAACAGTCCGATGGATCAAGTGAGAAGACATCGGAAGTAGTCTCTAATTTTTAGATGGGACACACTGCCGAGGCCTTGATTCTACTCCCTGGTACTCCATCTTTTGCTTTCCAAGGAACTACCTTTTGCCTTCTGTAATGCCCTTCGTTTCCTACTATCCATGTTGTAGTAATTAGCAAAAGCCTCAGAAATGCTGTGTTGGTATGTTTGCTGTGTGTTACCTAAGGTGGCCTCTTTACTGCTTTTTAAGTTAATTTTTATTTCTGAGAGTACAACTCTGAAAAGTGTACTCAGATTTACAGATTGATGATTCCAGCTAGGTGTCAGAATTTTGACACATAATTTTTTGTCTAGTTATGTTTTTATTTGTTATTCATAGCTTGTATTTGTAAGTTACCCCATTCTTCAATTATAGGCCATTTTGAGGAATTAAAAGAATTTATTTGTGGTCAACTTAATCCACGTACAAGGTTTAACAATAGCTATCATGATCATAACCATCATTTTAACATTACCAGGGAGTTTAGTATGCTTTTGAGTCCCAAATTATTTCTTTTACATCTTTTTTTTGGTAAGAACTACAGTAGGCAAGTTTGTCAACATTAACTGATAAAACCCAAAAGTTGAGTGCTCTCAGGTTTGTTCCTATGTGACTTTAAATTTCTCATTTTTCCCATTCCCTTTCTTGTTTGTGTAAATTGGATTTTTTCATATTTTTAATGTTTTTGTATACTCTATAAATGAACAACAACTGCCATCCTACTGTTATTCTATTTTGAATCCTCTGTTCCTTAAACTTTTAGTCCAAGAGGTAAACCTTATTAGACTTGTTCTTAGATTATACACTTATGGTTTTCATTAAGTACATGAGAGTGATCATTTAAAGTTTATGGAAAATATGCACCATGGAAAAACTGTAAATTTCCAAAATTTTTTGAAGTACCATCCTAAGTAACCATTACCTTAACTAACACTGAATGCATATGTAGCCCCTGGGATGACATAGATAGTCATTGTACTGCTATACTGCTTTTCATTATTTATTTATTTATTTTTGACAGGCAGAGTGGACAGAGAGAGAGACAGAGAGAAAGGTCTTCCTTTTGCCGTTGGTTCACCCTCCAATGGCCGCCGCGGCCGGCGCACCGCGCTGATCCGATGGCAGGAGCCAGGTACTTATCCTGGTCTGCCATGGGGTGCAGGGCCCAAGCACTTGTGCCATCCTCCACTGCACTCCCTGGCCACAGCAGAGAGCTAGCCTGGAAGAGGGGCAACTGGGACAGAATCTGGCACCCCGACCAGGATTAGAACCCGGTGTGCCGGCGCCACAAGGCGGAGGATTAGCCTAGTGAGCCACGGCGCCGGCCCTTGCTTTTCATTATTGTTAAGAGGTGATTGTTTTGTTTTGCCGATTCATTTTTATTTTATTTTGCTTTATTTTAAGATTTGCTTATTTGAAAGAATTATAGAGAAAGAGGAGAGACAGAGATCTTCCATCTACTAGTTCACTCCCCAAATGGCCACAGTGACCAGGATTAGGCCAGGCCAAAGGCAGGAGTCCCGGAGCTTCATCCAGGTCTCCCACGTGGGTGCAGCAGCCCAAAGACTTGGGTCATCCTCCGCTGCTTTTTCATGTGCATTAGCAGGGAGCTAGATCGGTACTAGAACAGCTGGGACTCAAACCATTGTCCATATGAGATGGCAGTGCTGCAAGCTGTGGCGTTAATGTACTGCACCACATCACTGGCCCCATTGTTGATTCATTTACCAGCTAAATCACCTCACTGGCCCCATTGTTGATTCATTTACCAGCTAAATCACCAGACATTTCTGACTCCTACTGTTAGTAAAATGGTGCAGTCTTACCTATGGTGTGATCTACGCCCTGGACACCATCCTAGGCTCTAGCCTCTGCCACATGGCTGGAAGCCAGGTGACCCTATGGCCTAACCACCGGTGTCAGCTCCACCCCCACCCTAATGGGATTCGCTGCTCCTACTTCCCTGCCCACCCCCAGCAAAGTTAAGAGGATCTGTTCTGAACATGGAACTCTCTCTGTTTCTTGGTGTCCCTCTCTCTGTCTCTTGATCTCTTTCTCTTATACTCTTCTTCTCCTTCTCTTCCTTCTTCGCCCCTACCCTCTGACCTGTCAGGTTTTTCTACCAGTAAATCCTTTCCCTTACTCCGATGTTTGGTGTGTTTTGTGGTGGCCTTACACACACCACCTGTTCATGAAGGATCAGATTCACTTTTTTTTCCACCTCCCTCAGAGACCCAGTGAAGCCTTTTTAAAAAAATTTATTCGAGGATGGTGCTGTGTTAAAGTGTGTGAAAGCTGTGGCCTGCAGTGCTGGCTTCCAGTATGGGCACTGCTTTGAGTCCCTGCTGCTCTGCTTCTGATATATTTATATATATGTAAAATTTATCTTGTTGAATAATACACAGAAATCTCTTTTATGAAGTCTTTTTTTTCAAATGGAATAATAAATTTTTTTCTGAAGTCTATGGATGATCATGGAATAGAGCTACAAATATGAAGTGTTATGAAGTATACATGACATGAAATTAAAACAAGTTTATTTGGGTTTGATAATTTTTGAAATCCTATATACTGATATTAATAGATTTCTTAAACCATATGCATTTAAAAAGAATAACTTATTTTAAATGCAGAGTTAAAGAAAGTTAGATGAAGGGAGAGGGAGAGAGAAATTTCTGTTTACAAGTTAAATCCTCAAATGGCCACAACTGCCAGGCCTACGCCAGAGCCTCGAACTACTACACAAGGGTGGCAGGGTCCTAACCATGGGCCATTTTCTGCTGCTTTCCCAAACACATTAGTGGGAAGCTGGATCAAAAGTGGAGCTGCTGAGATTCAAACCAGCACTCATGTGGCACAGAAATTTTTTTAAAAAGATTTATTTCATTTATTTGAAAGAGAATTACAGAGAGAATGTGTGTGTGTGTGTGTGTGTGTGTGTGTGTATAGAGGGAGCACTTCTATCTGCTGGTTCACACTCCAGATGGCTGCAGCAGCCAGAGCTGGCCCAATCTGAGGCCAGCAGCCAGGAGTTTCTTCTGGTCTCCCACATGGGTGCAGGGTCCCAAGGACTTGGGCCATCCTCTTCTGCTTTCCAGGCCCATTAGCAGGGAGCCACATTGGAAGTGGAACAGCTGGGAGTAGAACTGGTGCTCATATGGGATGCCGGTGCTGCAGGCCGAAACTTTAACCTGCTGTGCCACAGTGTCAGCACCAGTACAAACTTTAAAAACTCATTTTCTGTTGTTTCATTCCACTATTTCCTACCTTTCCTCTCCTAGTGAGTCAGTTTTCCTTCAGATTCTGTTCCCCTTGGTTTTCTGTCTTCTCACTTTTTTAAATCTTTCATTCATTGTGATAGCTTCAGGCATTACTGAAATAGTGCTGCTTAGCATATCTTTATCTATAGTCTGTCTCTCCCCTGAGTTGTATTTCATATGTCCAGTTGTCATGCAAACATTGCCACATAATTGACTACAGAAACCTCACACATAATGTTTCTAAATTCAGCCTCTCTTCTTTCCATCACATTTTTTGCTCTCTTTCCCTACTTCAATTTTTATTGCTAGGTGGTGAATTTTATTTATTAGAACAGAATTCTGTATTCATGCAGATTGAACAATCTTTGATATTTCAATGAAAAATCTATTTTTTTAAAAGGTCTGTCCTTCCCTGATCCATATTGAACATGCATTTCTGTAGCTCATCCAACATTAGCTCTATCACTTTTTCTTTTGTCTACAGATTACACTCTGAGCTCCTTTTAGAATCATTAGTAGAAAGATTAGTTCCAGATAAATAGTGGAAACTTTATGGTAGCGATTTTGCCATTATAAAATTAATATAGAGCAAGGTATTTTTCATTCTGATTTTACTTTCTCTTGGGATGTTGATTGCAAAATTAGTTGTATCTTATGTAAGAGGTATATGAGACACAGAAGAATATACTCCCAGTGTTTATGTTTTGGGAAGCAATGCATCAGTTGAACAAAAATGTGCTGTTACAGGTTTTGGTGTCATTTGAAGATCTGTCTGTGGACTTCACCTGGGAGGAGTGGCAGGACCTGAACACTGCCCAGAAAATCCTGTACAGGGATGTGATGCTGGAGACCTATAGCAATCTACTATCCTTGGGTGAGTGACAGTCCCCTGACGTTCCCAACTACAGCATTTTATTCCCCTTTGACAAATAAATGAACACTTTTAAACATTTAATGTTGGGTATGTATAGAATTTGATTCCATGAAGAAACTGAATATTTACCCTCTAAGAAAGGATTCATGTTGGAACTTCCGTTACACAGCTCCTTGATCAAAGTTTTGTCCTTCAAATAAACTAATTTAGTGGTTTGACAATGGGTTGTATTTTTTCCCATTAATAGGACACTGCATTAGCAAACCTGACTTGATTCTCAAGTTGGAACAAAGAGCAGAGCCATGGATGGTGGAAGAACACCCAAACCGGAGCCCAGGTGAGTCAGCACATACTAGGGAGGGACAGCGTGACAGAAAGAATAGAGCAGGTGTTTACTGTAGTTCTTCTCACTGCCTGACAACAGAAGTTTTGTGCATAAAGCACAGCCATTCTGTTGTGTCTAGAAAAGGTGCTCATGGCTATATCCCTGTACCTCTTCTGCTGTTTTCGATTTAAGGAAAAAAAAGAAAAGAAAAGAAAATCCAGTCCCTTTCTCAGCTACTTAGGCTTTTTTTCAGTGATAGATACATACCCTGAATTCTAACTTGTTTTTCTTTTCATTTTTAGTCTGTTTTCCTTTATGCCTTTTTAAATGCATGTATTAATTCCTTTGATGCTCGTTAATTGGGAAACACTTAGGTACCAGTTCCTCACAGTTGTGCACATTTGAGTTTTCAGTCCTGGCTATAGCCAAACCCAAAGCTTCCTGTTGCAAGCATTCCAAATCTGCATCAATGAATGGGGGCTCTCTCTTCTATCTCTTTCTCTGCCTCTGCCTCCCCAGTAAATAATCATAGGCTGCTGTAAACATTTGAGGAGTGAATCAGTGAAGGGAGCTTTCTGTCTCTATTTGTCCCTCATTCTCTATTTCTCTCTCAAGTAAATATGTAAATAAATAAGGAAATGACAAAACATGTTCAGGAGCGAGGGTCTATGCTGTGAAATCAGAAATCATGAAACCAAGCAGGATCCAGCGTAAGAACATGGAAGTTGATAGGAGATTCTGCATCCTGACATCAAGCAAACACAATTTGTGCTGTTGAATTCCTTAGATTTGAGAGTCAAGTTTGAAGTGTGGATTCTCTTTTTCAGCATTATTGATGAACAGATTAATGTGAAAAGAATCAGTTTTCTGGAATATTAAGACACAACTGATCCTCTAACACAGAGATCAGATGTCTTTAGAAACTCAAATTATTATGGAGGATTCTGCAGAATTGAGAAAAGCCAGGGCTGTTGATTCCAGATGAGCTAAGAAAACACTTATCAAAGAAGGTGAAAACACTTTGGGTTGCCAAAACAAATCCCCTAAACTAGTAGGGAGCACACATCCAGGGTGATGTATTAGGACTTTTCTATGCCATTATGGTCTCAGAAGCAGAAAATGTCAGGTTTCCTTTGGAATATTGGGAGAGTTGTTACCCTTGAGTGCAGATGAACGAATATTTCATATGTAAAACCTCAAAAATGCTATTTCCCTGGGAGACTGCTCATGAGACAAATGTTCAAATCCTGTTCTTTAATTGTGGTCTTGCTTAGGGTACACATGTCCTGCAATTGCAAGTAAGTGATCTGATAAAACATTCCCATCATTCAGGCTGAAAAATTAGCACAGAAACTCAAAACAGCTTTTATGAGGAAAAAAACAAAGCAAAAGGACATGGAAAACAAATACCTGCTGGAATTCCCTAAGCATTTTATTCTACACAGCACAGTGGTGAATGTCTTTCCAAAATATTTCACCATTGTTTAAAATCTTACCATTTTCATCTTTTTGATAGTCAAAGTGACATAGAGGAACACAGAAAATTTCTATTCATTAGTTTATTCAGTAAATGCCCACAATAGTTAGGGCTGGACAACTCTAAAGTCTAATCCCTGAATTCTGTTTTTCCTCTAGTTTTGTTGGGCTATAGTACTTGAACCATCATCTGCTGCCTTCCAAGATACATAAGCTGAAAGTCATATTGGAAGCTGAGTAGTGAGGTCTCAAATTGGGACTGTTAAGTAATTCAGGCATGCAAAGCAGTCGCTTAACCTAACTTACCACATAACCTCTTCTGCCATACTTAAAACACTATGGAAGTCAGAATCTGAATGAAACATTGGGAAATCTTTTTGTACAAGTCATTATATTATTTTTCCAGGAGAAAAAACATAATGGTGAAAAAGGAATATGCTAGGCCAGTGCTGTAGCTCACTTGGTTAATCCTCCGCCTGTGGATCCTGCACCCTGGGTTCTAGTCCCAGTTGGGGCCCCGGGTACTAGTCCCGGTTGCTTCTCTTCCAGTCCAGCTCTCTGCTGTGGCCCAGGAGGGCAGAGGAGGATAGCCCAAGTGCTTGAGTCCCTGCCCCCACATGGGAGACCGGGAGGAAGTACCCAGCTCCTGGCTTCGGATCGGAGCAGCGCTGGCTGTAGCGGTTATTAGGGGAGTGAACCAACGGACGGAAGACCTTTCTCTCTGTCTCTCTCTCACTGTTTCTCTCTCTCTCTCTCTTTCTCTCTCTCTCTTTCTGTCTCTGTCTCTCTCACTGTCTAACTCTGCCTGGCCAAAAAAAAAAAAAAAAAAGGAATATGCTTTACTTGTATATTAAAATCATACTAGAAGGATAAGAAATTCCTTCATTGCATATATATATATACATATATATATATATATAAACATTCCAGAAGTAATATGTAGATGTGGTTCATGCATATATGTTTTTTTCCCCCTCATTTCAGTTGCCCAGAAAGGGGATGACCTGATTGGGACCAACCAGGAAAGTCAAGAAATAAATTGGAGGCAACATGTAATCACAAACAATAACACATCAACTAACAAGGGAATTGAATTGAGAAATAGACTTAATTTAACCTCACACCATATTCCCAAACTGATTATCAAAAAGGAAAACTTTTCAGGAGTAAAACCCAAAGCATGCAATATATTTCACAATGTGCATTTCCCTAGCGGTCCTGATGAGATGCAAGTATACTTTAAGAAATCTTATCTCAATAAGGAACAAGAAACCCACAGAGGAGAGAAACCCTATGAATCTGCTGAGTATGAGGGACCTCTCATTTCTAAATCAGATCTCACAATAAATCAGAGTAAACATAAAGGGAATAAAACCTATTCTTGTAAACCCTGTGGGAAATATTTTAGCTGCAAGTCATGTCATGCAGTCCATCATAGAACTCAAATTGGAGAAAATCCCCATGTGTGTATTGAATGTGAAAAAATCACTTACCAGAAGTCAGAGCTCATTAGAAATCCGAGAAGTCCCACAGGGGAGACACCTCTTGAATATAGTGAATGTGGAAAAGCCTTTAGCAAGAGGTCCATTTTCATTAGGCATCTGAGCATTCACACAGGGGAGAAACCTTATGAATGTAATGAATGTGGAAAATCCTTTGGCCGGAAGGCACATCTCATAAGACATCAGAGAATTCACACAGGGGAAAAACCTTATAAATGTAATGAGTGTGGAAAAGCTTTTTGTTATAAGATATCCTTTATTATGCATCAGAGCTTCCATACAGGGATGAAACCCTATGAATGCAATGAGTGTGGAAAAGGCTTTTACCAGAAGTCGCACCTCATAGCACATAAGAGAATTCACACGGGGGAGAAACCTTATGAATGTAATCAGTGTGGAAAAGCCTTTACTCATAAGTCACTTCTCACAACACATCAGAGAATTCATACAGGGGAGAAACCTCATGAGTGTAATGAGTGTGGAAAAACCTTCTGCTTGAGGTCATACCTCGTTAGACATAAAAGAATTCACACAGGGGAGAAACCTTATCAATGTAGTGACTGTGGAAAAGCCTTTTGGTGGAAGGCAGACCTAGTTGACCATCAGAGAATTCACACAGGGGAGAAACCTTATGAATGTAATGAGTGTGGAAAAGCTTTTTGCCGGAATTCCTACCTCATTACGCATCAGAGAATTCACAAGGGTGAAAAATTATGTGAATGTAATGAATGTGGAAAAGCCTTTTGGAAGAGATCAGTATTTATTAGACATCAGAGAACACACACAAAGGAGAAACCTTATGAATGCAGTGAGTGTGGAAAAGCCTTTCGGCAGCAAGCATCCCTTATTATACATCAGAGAATTCACACAGGGGAGAAACCTTATGAATGCAGCAAGTGTGGAAAAGCCTTTCACCAGAAAGTATTCCTTATCAGACATGAGAGAATTCACACAGGGGAGAAGCCTTATGAATGTAATGAGTGTGGAAAAGCCTTTGGCCAGAAGACACACCTCATTGCACATCAGAAAACTCACAGACCATTGAAACTTCAAGAATGTAATGAGTGTGAAAAAGTCTTTTGGTGTCCGTCAGATCTTGTGAAACATCAGCGGATTCACAAAGGTGGAAAATGTTTTGAATGTAATGAATGTGGAAAGCCATTTAGCCGGAAAGAACACCTCATTAGGCATCAGGCAATTCACACAGGGGAGAAACCATATGAATGTGAAGAGTGTGGAAAAGCTTTTATCCGTAAGTCACACCTCATAAGACATCAGAGAATTCACACAGGGGAGAAACCTTATGAATGTAATGAGTGTGGGAAAGCCTTTTCCCAGAAGTCACACCTGATATCACATCAAAGAGTTCACAAAGAGAAACCTTATTAATGTATTGAATATGGAAAAATCTTTTCCTAAGGTGAACCCTGATTATGCATCATAGACATTACAAGGAGAAACATGAATCTAGTGAATGTGAAAAATGTTTTCCAGAAATTTGAGCCTCAAAAAAGCATAGAATTTACAAAGCAGGGAAACATTTTGAATACAATTAATGTGAAAAAAATTTGTCAGAATTTAGATTTGACAAGTGTGACGATAAAGCAAATAGGAGTGGAGGGAGTCTTACTGGTAGAATGAATGTAAAACATATAGTTTTCTAGCAGTGTTTATCACACATCAAGGGGCTCAGAGATAACCATGCACATGTAGAATTTTCTACCATAAGTAATTTGTTTCTGTCAGATAATTTAGAAAGATGAAAACCTGTATGAATGTAATGAAAGTAGCAAAACCTTTGTTGCAAGGCAAACATAAACAAATGTCAACACAATCACAGAAAACCCTTTGAAAATGTCATGTGTGGAAAAAGCCCTTTCCTGGAATCACCTCAGCTGGTATTAGGGAATTTATGTGACAGAATTATCCTGTGTGACAAAGACTGTTTTCTTCAAAAACATTTTGTCCTCTTTGACGTAGAATCTATTTGTGCTTTCACCTTATTTTGAATAGTAACATGTAAATGAACTGCTT